CAGGACTCAGAGGAATCCTTGTACTCCACGCTTTCACTGGCTGTGACACTGGAAGTTGTTACAGGATGAGCAAAGTTAAAATTAAATAATTCCTCTTCTATGTGAAACAAAAGCTTATCTGATCTAAAGAACTTTCCCAGACACTGTTCACACAGAAATTACTGTTCTTCTAAACTGGATCAGTAGGAAACCATAAATCTGGCTGAAGATGCAAACAATACACTTTTAATGCCCAGGAGTGAATTTACATGAATAGGCATTACCAAATAATTCTGCCATGGAGAGGAGCATACAGGTTAATTTAATGCTATATTAAATGCTGTGCAGATTCCCCATTTTCATTTCACTTCCACTGATTAAAGAAAACCAATGCAGTTAAGCAGGACTGAAGGTCCTAATGTGGAAATACACATCTGGTTGGGGAGGGCAACATCTGTGCCTTGATTGATACAACTTAATAACAGTCCTGACTTTCCTCTTTCACTTTCTGCCAATGCATTATTCTCATCTCATGTATTCCCATGAAGATGGTGATTCCAGACTAGACATTTATTGTGCAAATTTCCTGTTTCATTACAGAATTCCACAAGACGTTCAGGTGTTGTTGTATCCTTCCCATATTTTCCCATTGTGTCCTACATCTTGTGGTGTGTGTGTGTGTGTGCATATGTGTGTGTGTTGTGTGTTGTAAAATAATGTGATACAGCAGGAGGGAGAGATAGAATAACTGGATTAGTAGGATGAGAAGAGAAGAAAGCACCTGTGTAAAGCAGAGCACTGTGTTTGTGGTTATTGTGTGGAGGGGGAGGATAGATACAAGAAAACCATGTTTCTCTCAATCCCAGCCACTCAGATTTCACAGGAGAAAGGAGGTTCAATTGCTTAGGATCCCTGCAGTGTAAATGTTGAGGTTCTATGAAATATTTGCTTGGAAAGGCATGATAGGCAAGCATATGAAAGAAAAGTAGCATTATCTTAACTAAGAATAATATAAAGAAAAAGCAATTTAATATTAGCTTGGAAGGAAGGGGGTTCTGCTGAGTTTAGTCATATATTCCCATGTAAATACACTAAGGCAATGTTGTCCAAATTTGGCCACTTTAAGATGAGTGGACTTCAAC